ACGGGCTAAGTTAGACAGACAAAACGTTTTCGGAATCCATATTCCATCATCAGTGTCTAGGAGTACATGAATGTAGCCACTAAATAAATGGGTAAAAACCCGTTAACAAATAATTAATTACATTTAGTTTACAAAATTTCTTATAATGATTTAAGATGTTAAAGTTACCGTTGGATTAGGTAACATGGCGACATATGACTCCACGTTGAAGTTGCTAGTCCTGAGAAGGTGTGTCTACGAAGACTGTATGGGAGTTGCTCAACGTTTTTCAACCACATACCTACATTGCACTTAAGACCTTTATAACGTCTGGAAAATCTTTATAACATAATAAAACAGCCCGCTAAATTTGATTAAAATAGATTTAATAGATTTTGCATAATAATTTTGCAATTTTATTTTAGATTGAATTTGTTTAAAATCTTACATATCAAAAACTGGACCATATAGAAGTTTGGCAATTTTTTACTTATAAAAATGCACTTACCCTATATAACGTACGTTATTGAATTGAAATCGGATTATTTGGACGGTGGAATTCAGAAAACGGCGTTAAAAAAGACTCGGTAAGGTGTTTCTTATAAAAGAAAAAAAAGTTGGATTACGAACAGTGGTTCCTGAGATACAACCGATCTAAGTTGACCGACATCTGCGACAAACTTATAAACAATAGGATGACTATCTTAACTATTTCAAATGTCAAAATATACGTATACGTAAAAAAATGGCTTTCTTGGTTTTCAATAAAGCAATTTTTTAATTTTTTTTTATCCGAAGTAAAGGGAATAGAGCCATCTAAAAAAGGTATTACCAAATGCCAGATATGCTTCAGTTTTGTTATAAATAAAGTTATTTATTTATACTCCAGACGTCAGAGACCTTCATCAGCATTTTTTGTATAAAATAAACTTCTCTTAAAAGTATTCCTTGAAGCGACGCGGCTACATTCGAAATATCAATTCGACGGTAAAAATTCGATATCTTTTGATCAGTGTCCTATCGACAAGATCAAAAAGAGTTTTTATGGAATGAAATTTCGGGCAACAAATGAAAAAGATTTCCTTAGTTTATGAGTTTCCCTAGGTCGCAACGTAAAGATATTGTTCATTTTATCGTGTTTTCAAATTTTAGAAGTAAAAAATTTGTTGTTAATATTTCACTTATTGTAAAATTAATTATAACAAAATGGACAATATCTCGACGTTGTGACCTAGTACTTCATCTATAAATGAAGTGTGCAAAATTTGAGAAGGATCGATTAAGTAGTTTTTGAGATACGGAAACACCGACTCGAAAAAAATTATTCCGAGAACATGCATTAAAAAAAAATTTATTCTCACACAGTATCGTCTATTTCAGACCCATATAGTGACGTGCTTCTTGCTAAAATATCTAGAGCATCCTTTTGCTCCTGCTTTCGATGAACTCTGCTTTTTTGTTGCATGTGCAGCCATTTTATCCGCTCTAGTAATTCGATTGTTATCTGAGGCAAGTGCATAATTATAAGAATTTGACACTGTACTTATTCCAATTTCTATGCGAGTGCTCACTCACTTATCTCACTCAAGCACTCACCTTACTCACTCACTTACCTCAATCACTCATCGGACTCACTCGCCCCACTCACCTACTACTACACTCACCTTATTCACTGACCCACTTCACTCACATCAATCACTCACTCACCTTACTCATCTACCTCACTTACTCACAACATTCACTCACTAACTCATCCACTCATAAATACCTATAACTTCATCAATTTTACTACGAGCAATTTTGAAACTTTTAGTAAAATAAATACAACAAAATGAAACCCTACATCCCCTCTTAAAGCGTCGCTTCAAGCGATATTTTTGAGAGAACCGTTTATTTTACACAAAAATTGCTTACAAACATTTTTGTTGAAAATTGTCTCAGCTAAATTTCTAATTGGAAATATTTTTTCTACGACCGCGACGCACAGATTCTTGGTAAATCGATTTTTCCGTTTTTTTCCTCTAAGAGGCGGGGTGGTTTTAGGGGAAAGCTGGGAAGTAGGAATAGTAAGCTTTTTTGCATATTTTTTGGGGTTTCAAAATTAACCTTAACACAAAAAATTCAGATTGTTCGTACGATTTTTACAGGTTCAGTGGCGTTTTCATCTCTGACGACTTGAGTATAAATAAATTATTTATTTATAACAAAACTAAAATATCTCTGGTATTTGCTAATGCGTTTTTAGAGCTCAGAAATATAAAGGTAATGGTTTCAAGGTTATTATCCTATTGTTTAACTTCATTGCAAATTCCGGTCAACTTTGACCCGTTTATCTCAGGAACCACTGCTTGTAATTTAACTTTTTTCTTTTATACGAAAAATCTTGCCGATTCTTTTTTAACGCCGTTTCTGAATTTGATTTAAGCTAATAGTTACCGAGAATTTAAGAATGAAAAAGTCCAGCGAACTATAGAAGAGAATAAAGTCTGAAAGTCCTGCAAAGACGACTAATTATGGAAAATGCGAAATACACAAACACATAAACTATACATAAGCCAAAGAGAAGACCAAAAGAACTGGGAGGACGCCGCATCGCGCAAATTTATCAACCAGGGGTCAGAGCTCATGCCAGAGATCATACTAAGCGAAATCCAAGACGAAATGAAAAAGATGAAAAACAACAAAGCGCCAGGAGAAGATGGAGTCGTAATAGAATTTATAAAGATGGTGGAAGTGCCCTTCTCAACCAAATAAAAATGTTGTTTAACCTTTGTGCCTAACAGATTGTTGCATACCAAAAACATGGAACAATGCAGTAACAATTTTACTACACAAGAAAGGAGACAAGGCGCACCTAGAAAACTATAGACCGATCAGCTTATTGAACCACATCTATAAAATGTTTACCCGAATAATTACGACAAGACTAGAGAAAAAGTTAGATTTCTACCAGCCGAGAACAAGCTGGTTTCCGCTCAAAATTCGGAACAAACGATCATCTACAAACAGTAAAAACCTTAATAGAAAAGTCGCTAGAATATAACAGACCACTGGTACTTATCTTTGAAGACTTTCACAAAGCCTTCGACAGTGTGGAATTAGCATTATAACTGCTCTGAACAATAGTAGAATAGATTACCGGCTTACAAAGTTGGTACAAACATTGTACCAAAACGCCACAATGCGTGTAAAACTACATGATACCACCAGAGAAATTCATATCAAGCGAGTTGTGAGAAAGGGTGACACTCTCTCACCTAAATTATTTATAACGGTCCTCGAATACGCCTTTAAAATAATAAAGTGGGAAAATATAAGAATAAAAATAGTGGAGAAATGCTCAATCATCTGCGTTTTGCCGACGACATAGTATTTATTACCGAAGCTCTGGGTGAAACACAACAAATACTACAAGAATTAGAAAACGTATCTTCAACAATAGGTCTAAAAATGAACATCAGTAAGACCAAATTTATGACAAATTTAGTTCCCAGCGAACACCTAATCATCCGAAATCAAGTGGTAGAATTGACAGAAAAGTACATATATCTTGGTCATGAAATCAGAATAGGCAAGGACCACCCGACCTGCAAATTTCAACGACGAATAACACTTGCTTGGGCGGCGTATGGTTCCCTAAGAGACATCTTTAACATCCCAATAGCTATGAAACGAAAGACATTTGACCAATGCGTTCTTCCTATTATGACATACGGAGCAGAAACTCTCACGCTCACAAAAACAACAGCACTAAAAATGCGAGTGGCACAAAGGCGCATGGAAAGATCAATTCTCGGCGTGACAAAAAAGACAAAATAAGGAATCACGACTTAAGGGAATAAGGGAAAAGAACAGGTATCAGTGATGTCGTCGAACGTATAGCCAAGCTGAAATGGAATTCGGTAGGTCACATAGCGAGACTGAAAGACAAAAGATTGACCAGAAAACTAATTGACTGGCGCCCACGAGAAGACAAACGCAGCAGAGGACGACCACCAACACGCTAGATAAACCGTGAATAGTGGCGAAAAATGGGAGAAACCTATGTCCAGCAGTGGACAGAAGAGGTTGCATGATGATGATGATGAATAGTTACCGAGATATTTTATTTGCCAGCCAAAAAATTGTTTAGTATTTTAAAACATCTTGAGGCCATCCAAATAATCCAATTGCAATTCAATAAAGCAAGTTATATAGGGTAAGTACGGTTTTATAAGTAAAATAATTAACAAACTTCTATATAGTCTAGTTTGTGTTGTGCAAGATTTTAATAAATTCAATTTTAAAAAAGATTAGATTGCAACATTTTTATGCGAAATCTATTTTAATGAAATTTGGTGTGCTGTTATTATTATATTATAAATATTTTCTATACGAATTATGAAGGTCCTAAGTGCAATGTATGCGGTTGAAAAACATTGAATAATAAAAGGCTTGTTTCCCCATCTTTTTTGTATTTATTGCTATTTTACAGAAAGGCTTATAAATTAATACATTATTAACTAGCCACATCTTATAGAAAATTTAATTGTCGCTATTTTATTTCAGTGCGACTTTGTTCCAAAATGAATTATTTTAAAGTTATAAGCAAGGAAAGTAGGAAAAATCAATACTGTCAGTAATTTTTAAATATTTTAATTTTTTTATTTATGTTCCCGACCTATTTGAGAGGGAGAGGGAGGGAGGACAGGTAAATTTTTATTACTGAAACTATCTTATCTATTTCTACAAAAATCCGAATCCCACCTCCCATATCCACCTGAAAACAGATCCGCCTTGGTCTATATATCTTTTTGGACGTGTATTATAATTATTTATCAACTTGTGCTCTGATATTACAGTTAATTATAACGATAGGTCAATGTATCAGGTATTGAGGGTAAAAAATAAGTTATGAAGAATATAACAGTATTTATTATAGAGAAAAACATTAAAATTGTAAAAAAATGTGACACTATACTCAAATAAAAAGAAAAAAGTAAAACTGTTTCAGAATAGATATACAAAGTATCAAACAACAATTACTTGGTCTTCTTTCCCTTGCCTTTTCCTTTACCTTTTGAACTTTCACTGGATTTACTTGTTGTGGCTTTGGCATTTTCTTTCTTATTTGCTGTTTTAACCTAAAAAATAATTATTTTAAAAAGGTTTGATTTTAGATAATCATTAATAGATATCATATTACATATATCTGACAGAGAAAGTCGGATGATTTTATTTGGAATGTTTTATTTCATTAAACAAAACGGATTGCCTAGGCTGTAGCTTAGCTGTAGGCCTTTATTATGTGCATGAGTGTGCGCGCGTTTGTGTGTGTATTATAATTATAATGTAACTATGGTAATTATAAGTATCAGTGGAATGATTTTTGTGAAAAACGGCCGCATCCGCATTTCACTCCACAGTGTCATTTAACCCAAATAAACCAAACTGTTGTATTAGATCTTTTAAAATCACTGAGTAATTTTTTATGTTCAAAATTAGAGCACTCAATGATTTTGTGAATGGCCGCTAATAGCTTGTAGTACTGGCTTAGTATCTGAAATTATTATTATATTCGTGCATGTGTTAGATACATACCATTTTAATGCCTGTTCAATTGCAAAGGATTCGATAGTAAAAACGGAGCAATAATTTGAGACTATATTTCTATATAATTAATGTTTAAAACAAAAAAGTCGAACTTGTACGTCCATCCGTCTTTGTGTGAATTTGGGGTTCTCGAGCAAATATATTAATTTTTGGCGGTTCTATGAAGATATTGTAATTGTGCTAACTAATTACTGTCCACCCAATGGGAAATAAAAGTGAGCTCTAAGTGAAGTAAGTAATAAGTAATCAAGTAATTTTCAGTATGGTACAGTGCAGTTTCCATCTGTAATGCAGAACGTGCCTACAAACCTAATACATCGTATCACCAAGTAAGTCAAATAAATACTCAAGCTTCACCATTGTGCTCAAATCAAACAACAGTAAACCAAATGATACCTTTTGATAATTATCAACAATAATATCAGGTACAGCCAAAAGTTGCCCAAAAAACTTCTCTAACTATTCTCTAGCTACATCAAACTACTACTCCCAAGCTACATCAATTTACTAGCTACATCAAACTCCCGAGCTAACTTAGATCTAAAAAAACAATCAAGAAACACAGAATGAATATGATTCGATGTCAGATGAAGAACGTGAAGACTCTCAAAATAATAAAAACCCATGGCAAACAATTAAATCAAAAAGAAAAAGGTTTAAACGTGGAGATTCAAAAGAAAAATAAGCTCAAATTACACTCTCAAATAGGTTTCAGTCTCTTCCACAGGAAAACTCCTTAAATGATAAGAATAAAAATCCACCAATCTCAAAACCCCCTCCAATTTTTATACCTGGCGTGAATGACTACAGCAAAATGATAGATAATTTAGGTCAAGCAGTATAAGTAGAAAATTACTTTACTAAAGCCTTAACAGACAACACAATAAAAGTTTACCAAAGACACCTTAATCCTACAGAAAACTAATACATCACGTACTAGAGAAAAACATCGTTCACCATACATACCAACCTAAGAAAGAAAGAGCATACAGAACAGTTATTCGAGACCTTAATCACTCCTTTCCGATAGATAGGTCCCAATATTTTTGTGGACCTCGATCCTCAAACGAACTACAAAAAAATATTGGAACTACAGTATATACAACAGTGTACAATAAGGGTAGAACCACCGAGAATTAAGAGAAATATACCAAAAGTTACACGATGTCAAGAATATGGTCACACTAAAACGTACTGTGCAAAACCATATAATTGCGAAAAATGCGCTGGATTGCACAAAATAAAGGACTGTAAGGGACTATCCTTTTAATTATACAGGTTGTTTTGTTTATAATGACCTAATAAATGTCAGATACAATGACAAATTAAAACAAATCACCACTAAAATTCAACAGTTCCAATGTCAGCACAATCAGTTGTAGAGATGCTGCCATTGGAAACATAAATGCAGATAACAAAAATAACAACAATGAATTAGCAGATAAACTATCAAATTTCCTAAATAAATTCAAAAATGTGTTTTCTCAACAAAATAAAAAAAGGCTTTCGAGCCATTACAAATTGCGTCGTGGAATGCTAATGGCATTTCAAACCATATACTAAAACGAATAATATAGATATTCTATTAATATCTGAAAGCCATGCCACACAAAAAACGGTTATTACGATACCTTACTATACTGTGAATTATGCAAACCATCCAGACGGAGGAGCACATGCAGACTCTGCGGTTATTATTAAATCAAAAATTAAACACTGTGCAGTCCAACCTTATATTACGGAAAAAATCTAAGCAGCAGTCATTAAAATCGAAACAAATACCTCTCTCAGTGTAGCATCAGTCTACAGCCCATCTAGACATCTCATTTCAAGCGAAGAGTATCATGATTTCATGAACTCTTGGATGCAAATTCATAGTAGCAGGAAATTGGAATTCCAAACACACCAAGCAGATGGGGTTGTAGAAGAATCACGCCTAAAGGTCGAGCATTAATGAACATCATTCAACAAAATAACTTAAGATACTTATCAACGGGGATCCCACATAGTGGTCTACGACCTCAACAAAATCCCAGATTTGGTAGATTTTGCTATAACAAAAGGAATAGCTGACATCCATAGTGCAATAGTCAAACTTCGATTTAACATCAGACCATAGCACAATATCTTTAAGCACACACATAATATGGAGAACACCACAACCTAAAGAACAAACTGAGATGTTTTCAAAATTATGTAAATACAAAGATTAGACTAGATATTAGGATAAAAGAAAACCAAGATGTAGAGAAAGCAGTAAAATATTTAGCAACAGTTTTACAAACAACAGGATGGGAAGCAACACCAAAGCAAAGAGAAGTATGCAAGCAAACTATAATATCCCCTTCGATATAAGCGAACTTGTAGCAGAAAAAAGAAGAGCTCGACGGATATAGCAACAAAGGAAAAATCCACAAGTAAAACGAACCTTTACAGGATAAGTCATAGACTAAATAGAGCATTATATGAAGAAAAAAACGACTCTTTCCAGTTTTATGTTTCCAACCTGTCACATGAAGACCACTCTACATAGAAAGCTACAAAAAAATTTAAACGACCGACAATAACAAATTCACTTTTAAGAAGAACATAATATGATCTAGGCCCAAACGCAGAAAAAAATAACAGTATACGCAGAGCATCTTGCAACTGTATTCTCAGCACCAGATACTAATAACGAAGATGATGATATGCCTCGAAACTCCATGTCAACTATCTCTTTCTCTGACAACATTTACTCCGACAGATGTTCAACAAGAAATAAAAATGCTAAATCCTAAGAAAGCTTCTGGCTATGATTTGATAACAGGAGAATTACTTCAGAAGCATACTACGTCTGCGCTATTTTCCAAAACGATGTAAATTTGCTTAAGTTGAGCACTATGACTCCGAAACCTGGTAAGCCCGCAGCCCACAAGCAAATTCATATCGACCTATAAGCCTGCTCCCAATAATTTCGACAGTATTAGAAAGGCTACTATTCCATAAAATCGAGTAAGTTGTTCTCATAAACGAAATTATACAACACCAATTCGGATTTAGACATGAATACTTTGTCCTGTATTTTAGACAAAAATACAGGACAAAGACCAAAATAAAGGACGCAAAACTGCGCATGCGTATATGTCAAAATAAAGGTGCTTTTATTACAGAACGACATAGAACACCTTTTCAATATCTCTCTATAGCAGTAATTTGTTAAATGAGGGGAGTTCGTATTTTTCCAATAAGAATTGGTCAAATTTTATGTGGAAAGAAAGTTCATTTTTACCACTACATAACTATTGAAAAATTTGTATTTTAAAAAATTTTTATTTGCTAAGAACTGTCATTAAAAACTAATAGGAAGCGCTTCCCCTAGAATGGCTCACACGAAAATGCACAAAAAACATAGAGGGCAGATGCGGATTTCGATTACATACTAATGATCACGAAATTAAGAGAAACTATCCTAAAGATCAGAGAAAAGAGTATATCGTATAAAAATATGATGTCGCCAAACTAAGGAACAACTGACACCGCTGCCAGCGGTAAGGCACCCCTGTGAAATACCCCTAAGCGTACATCCGTATAAGGATATGATTTAATATTTCTTATTATTGAGTCTTGAAAAAGACTCAATAAAAGGTGAAGGAAGTAGGTAGACATCGTAGAATAAAAACACAGGTGTAAGTAGAAAAAGACTACCTACAGAGTCTCTTTTGCAGCAGCAAAAGTGGAGCAGAGCCCCGACCGTTGCCCTCCTAGAGCAGACGTGCTCTAGGTAGGGACGTGGTCCAAAGACTGATGCCAAGATCCGAAGAATCCCATATTTAAAGATGATTTAATATTTATATGAGATTTTCGGATCTCCTGGCCAATGAAAAATTGAATAAAATCCAAAAGGCGGGGCTATGCGTACCAAGGTGCGTGTTAGTTGGTCACTAAATGCACCAGGGCGACAATACCCTAAAGTGTCCGAATTTACCACGAAACTGAAAATACAACTTATATAATCTTACTTTCTAATCTGGTAATATACCCAAAACTACATTAATATGAGCTCACAACTCAACATCAATCCAAAATAATTGAAGCACACTTTCACCTTTCTAAAAATAAAAGAGAATCTTATTCAAATGAATCTGTTACAACTTACAAAACAACGTCTCAAGACATTTTAATAGAAATTACTGGACAAAGAGTTAGTCATTTCGAAGTATTAACTGCATTGTATACATGTCCTGTAGAAAATCCAGAAGATATATTTGCAAAACGAAAGCCAACAACAAGAAAGAGGTAATAACAGAAAAGAAATTAATTGAAAAAACAACAGATAATCAGCCAGCTTCCTCGTGATATTTATGGTTCCTGTAACTCGACAGAAATCTTTGAAGAATACACTGAGACAAATAAGCTTTCTTAAAATGTTGTCAGAAATCTATCATTAAACTGGAAGAAAACAAAATAAAAAACTACTGCAATGACCAATCTGACCTAAACAAGAAAAAAAGTAGCTATATTATAACAATTTTTCTGTGTAAATTTTTATTTTTGCAAGCAAAGTTGTAGATCAAAATTATTTCCATTCAATAAGGAATCTTTTAAAATAATGGAAATTTCTTATTTTTATGTGCTCTACGTGTGTGAATGTTTGCATGCTCCACGACTAAATCTACTTCTAAAATGATTAAAAATAAACCAGAAGACATGTTTTTAGACGTATTTTTGAAAGCTGATCACGAATTCGTTGTCACAATAAGTGTATATATAATTTTATTTGCTAGTTTATTTGCGAGTTATATCGTTTTTATTAATTTTCTGAAAACCGATTTCCGTTGAGACAATTTTTGCCGTAATCTCTTTATTAAACTGACGGACAGACAGACAGGTAAACATAATATATAGAATCGAAATTTTATTTCCGTATTATTATTTCGATCCAATAAGTCCCAAGATTAAAAAAAATCTATCAATATATTCTGTATTATACAAATTACAGAATATTTTTGCAGATCTGAAATACGACTATATGATCAGGTTGGCGATATTCAAGGTAGTTTAGGTTACAGAAATATTCTGCGGAATATATTGTCAATTTTTCCAAAGGCAATCGTCTTATAAAAATGTTATGCCTTTTAGAAAGTCAAATAGTTTTGTAAAGAATATTGTATTGTTATAAAAGTTCCGTAAGATTTATTCCACATAGTAGAGGCCCTTAGCAAAAAAAGAAGGAGTATTAAAATTCTAAAATATTCAAGATGCTATCGAAAAATCATGAAATATTTACTGAAGTCTGAAATGTCAGAAAATGTATATAAACAGATGTTGACAGATTGGATAACAGGTGGTAATTTAGTTTTTGAAATTTATAGTTGTTATTCTGTTAAAGTATTGTAAACAAGTTGGAGTTTGAATAAAGTTATTTTAAAGAAGTGTAATAGTATAATATTATATACCTTATAGTGTATAGAGTAAACCCAGATATTAAATAATTCCTAAACCAATAATACCCTTTTTTGATTGATGTAATATTTTTTAATTAAAAAATGTACTGAAGCTAAAAGAATAGTTTGAAAAAATAATAAAATATTCTTACAATACAACACAACTTATCCTTTTCAAATTTTGTAAAAATTTTAGTACTTGATAATATACGCTTAAATGTATAAATGCTATCTCAACTCTACGTATTAACTCTTTTTAAGAAAGAAAATAAATATCTAATAAAGCTTACTTTAATGAGAGCATCATGCGTTACATCATCATTTTCTTCATTATCCTCATCATTATCAGATTCAAGTAAATTATCTTCACCTTCTGGATTATCAGCTTGTGATGATTTCTTTTTGGAAAAACCGGTTCCTGGGGCGAATGGTAACTGTTTTGCTGATTTATTGTACGCCCGTGTAAAAGCAGATTTTACCTAAAATTATATTTAATTGAGTATTCAAGGATTTCAGAATATTGTAGTATATGTATACAATGTTATGTTGGCATAGCTTTACAACTTTGTTTTCTTTTTATTTATTTGCGATTACAATGTGTTCATAAAATAAATGACCAATAAGCAATTTTAATCTTTCCTAAATTATTAAAGGTGCTTGAAATCAAGAGTTTACCCTATGGTGTTTTCTTAATTTAATCTGATAAATATCGCACTAATGTTAATATGCACCACGCGCAGAAGCACTATGCTCTGCTTTTTCACTGTCACTTTAACTAATTCAAAGTGCTTTGTCCTCTTCAGTCTTCTAGTTTGCCCTGTGTTGTCAAGGAGCTGGATTGCTTCAACATTCACATGGCTATGGAGTAGTTTTTCATTATTTTCAGCCGTCTTCTTGATAATTATAGCCACAGTTTCCATACTCAGGTCCTTATAAAGGTCACTGTTCCTCATGTACCAAGGAACATTCACAACGTTTCTCAATACTTTGTTCTGAAACTTCTGGAATATTTCTATATTACTTTTCTTGGCACAACCCTCAGAGTTGTCTACCAAGTTGGCTAAGTCCAAATAGGACTTATGGTACTGTAGTATTTGTTTATAAAGTTAAAGCTTGTTGTATTTACATAGAAAGGAATTTCTTCCAAGCATCCAATACATTTTTTTGTATCTTAAGTCAAGTTCTTCCCTTTTTCTTAACATGAACTTTCCAACGTAGTTGTGCATCTAATGATATACCTAGGTATTTTGCCGTTTGAATATGATACTTGGTTATTATTAATTGTAACTAGTATGTTTTGTATCTTTTTATTAATAAAGTTAACGTGTACAGATTTATTTTCGTTCAGCCTAATTTTCAATTCTTTTTCGTCCAGGAATGTATTTTGTTAACTGCTGTTTGTAGTTTGTTTATTGCCTCTTCGATAGTGTCATCTACCGCTAAAATGGCAATATCGTCAGCAAAGGTGGCAATGGGATTATGTTTTAATACAGGTATATCGCACGTATATGTATTTGCACGCAAATGTATTTTCAACTGCAACAGGTGCCAAGCAAACAGTGGTAACTTCACTTTATATCTTTTTTATATATATTTTTTATATCTTAATGTAGTTAACTTAAATAATGCTACCAAAGTTTAAGATGAAGTCTAAAATAAAATAAAAATTTTTGCATAGTTGGAAGTGAATCAATGATTTTCTTAGTTCTTTTTCACTAGTTAATATTATATTAAATATTATATGCTTATTAGACCACGTGTTCTGTTGCTTTGCTAATTTTTACTAAGTCTCTAAATGTTGTTAGTTATTTAATTGTTTATACAATATCACCATATGATGTCCATTTATTTGAGTTTTTGTACGACCTTTTTAATACCATTGACAACTACATATCTTTTTTAAGATGAACTGATGATGCTATCAGAATTCGATAGCGAAACGTCTTCAAAATAGATGAATGTATATCAACTTTGTCTTTATTTCTCCACCTAGTTGACCGATAATTGAACCCACCACTCATCTGAGTGATCCTTATTTATATTGGATAGACGGTCGTACTCCTTTTTGCGATATATATATATATATATATATATATATATATATATATATATATATATATATATATATATATATATATATATACATATATATATATATATATATATATATATATATATATATATATATATATATATTATTGTGATATTTCAAGTCTTGGTGCGCCAAGCAATAATTAGCTAATTAAATTTTTGATTAATTAAAATTATTTAAATGATATGATTATGACTCTATCACAATTTTTAATTCTTTTATCTCAGGGTTAAATTCGTGCTTCAATATCTATGCTATTACATGTGAAAGGTAAGGTCCAAAGAATACCGGAATAATAAAAAAACACATATGATCTAACACTATATATTGAAATAAAAATAATGAAATAATTCACACTCAAAAGTTTTCAATAAACAAAATCTCATATAATAATTCTCAAAATTTTGTTCTACGTACGTGAACAATCAAAATTAATGGTACAAACAATATTAGTTGAAATCTCAAAATCCAAACTATTCTCTAAATCTCCTAATCAAAAATATTTATATCCTTTCTAAATTAAGTGAAAAAAATTGTGTTATCAATGAAAGAAAAACTGCAGAAAACAAAACTATCTCTCTCTGATGATGAGTGGTCCAAATCCTTGTTATTTGTAGACTATACTATTTACTCGTGGCCGCTCCCTAAGTAATCAGCAATCTTACAATAAATTATTGCAAGTATCTCGTCCTTAATGATCTCCTTCAAATGCACGAATCGTTCAAATTATGATAGCTTCTTCTTCTCTCAATAAACTGAATCTCTCGTTGGCCTGAGTGAAAAATGACTCTTGGAATATCTTTTCTTTACGATAAACTGAATCTCTCTTTGGCCTGAACAGTGACTCTTGGAATATAAGTAGAAAAATATGACTTACAATATTTTACTGGATCAGCTTCTGTCAGATACACTAACTACACGAAAACTCACAAACTTTCACTGCTACTGCTTCCTACCTCTGGGAAACTACCCGAGAACAACGGCCGTTCGCCTTGCACCCTTGGAAACCAACTGACTATCTTTTCTCTCTCAAAAATCTAGCTAAACTTTCATTCCTACATACCTATCCCACCTTTTTCAATCTCCGCCAATCAAAGCTCGTCACAATTCTTCCCATTTTTTCATTTCGATAACAAACAAATTTTTACCTATAATTATAAAATTTCCTAAAACTCATTTACAAATAATATTTTTCTACGATTCTTAAAAACTAACAAAAAACCTATAGCCCAGTCTGGTTATACAAAAATCATCGATTTCACGGCAAAATGTTTCGCAGATATTTGAAGCTTTTAAGACATATGTGGGGGTTACTAGATGACGAATAGATAAAAAGATACTCCTAGTTTTGCGTTGCGTTTTTTTTAAACAACAATTTATGGTCAAATTTGATTTTTTTATCTATAAGTTTTTTCCCTTATAATTTAAATAAACAATATTTATACCATTTTTTTATATCAAGAATATCTTTATTTTCCCGTTTTTTCAATTAAAATTGATTTATAATTTGCGGAGATATTTGTCAGAAAGCAGTTTTTTTGCACTAATTTATAAATTTAATTAATTTTTTTATTAACAAAATAAAATGTTATTAATACATTTTAACATGGAGGAATTACCGTCCTTTAAATTTGTGCGAAATTTCATCCCGATCGGTCAAATAGTTTAAAAGTTATTCAATTTGTTTATCCCTGGGACTAATTATTTAAACCATTGAGCTTGCCCTATGAATGACACTAGACACATTTAACAAATTTCATAGGATTCTTTAAGACTTATACTATTTCAGAAGTTAAATGCATATTGAGTTTTCATCGAAATTATTTACAAAATAAACGTTTGAAAAAGGGGTATGTTTTTTACTTATAAACAATTGTAATAACTTCTTTATTTTTCAAGCTACATACTTGTACGTACAACCATTGTGTAGCTGGTAAAAAAACTCACATTTAACAAAAAAAATTAACCTTCTATGAACAATAGGAACGAAGTTAGCGACAATTTTTTTGTTAATTATATCTCCGTTGTTTATAAACATTAAGAAGTAAAATTTGCACAAATATTGAATGAAAATCTAAACTTAATATTGAATTTTTATAGCTATAAAATTCATTCAATTTTTCGAAATTTAAAGCCTTTTGAAATAAAGTTACTTTCGAAAGATCTACATAGGAAAGTGGAGGGGAAACTGTCTTAGCACATCGCTGCAAAATTTCGTCAGTCTCAGTGTGGTGGCTTTAGAAAGCAATATACTTATTTAGCAATAATTTTTGAATAAATTATTTTGTGTGTGTTTTTGCTTAACAAAAAAGTTTTAACTAAACGTATTTAATTACTTTTTGATTGAAAATTGTAAGTAATATTTAAAACTATTGAATGAATAATTAATTATTTTCAACTTGTATAATTAGTGAAAAATATTATTTATTATAGATTATTTTAAAATAAACTGCAGACTGTGGCAATAACTTATTAAAGCAGTAGTAGTATCATAGTAAGTATTTTCCTTTGTAAGTTTTGTTTTATAAATGGCTAAATTATTGTTATGCAAGTTAAACGTTTGTTTTGAACTATTTTTATTGCTTTTACTTTATTGTTTATAATCATAATTAAATTTCAACTTAATAAAATAAAAAGTCCTTACAGATTTTAGCAATACGGTTATGCTTATTTTAACTTTATATATTTTTAAAATAGTCGTTGTATATAAGCTTGCAATATTGTGATCTTTCATTAATATTAAAAAAATCTTTTTTTGCTTTATTTTAGACAAGTGAAACATATTTCCATTCAAAAGGAGCAGATCATTTTTTTACTCTTTCTGTACTCTTTACGAGGAAATTCTTTAAAATTTTTGATTACATTGTACATTAATCTTTCAGTAATATTTATCTTATTTTTTAACTTAAAGTATTATATAATTTTTGTTTACTTTTAATATTATATTATTTATTTCTGGTAAACCAGAAAACATAAAAAATAACTGGTGAATATGAAACAAATTGAGCACGTGTAAACTAAATTTTTTGGAGTTTTTTTTAAAAGATGGAACCTTTTAAAGTCTTACAAAGTTACAAATTAAAAAACGTGTAGAACAACTCTACTATTACATATACGTGTAGTATTTGCATATATTTTTTACTCTTAACATAATATATACTATATACCATTGAACGTTCTTTCGATTTATATAAATTTATCAACTTTATCGTTTTATTAGATATTTATTTACATTTTAGTGACACAATATGCATCAAGACGAGCCAGTACTTCCAGTCCTAAAGATGATGCTCCTATTTGTATTATTTGTGACAAAAGTATTCATGCAAAAGAAAAGTTTAGAGAAGTTAAACAAAAGGGTTTACAGAAGTTCATAGAGACCAGCAAAATAAGAAAAGATAATAAACATAAAATAATGAGTACATTGTCATCAACGGTTGTTCACAATAATTGTTATTGCACATACAATCGAGTAAATAGAATCGCCTTAGCACAAAAAAAAATGTCAGAAGAATTGAGTAATAC